CGTCTATTGATAGGTGGATTAATACGCTCCATCGGATCAATCAATCACGCCGATGATAGACACATCAAGATGTTACCATACTGTATCGTCGCAGTACGCGTCAGGAAATTTGGACCTCAACTCAGACATATAATTAAATTTTTAATATTGCCATTGGGACCATCCGGCACTGCATTGACCCGCGAAAAGATGACCCCCATGAAGGTGAGATCGACCGATGCGCCTATTTCTCTCCGTCCAGCTTCAGGCGTACTTTGAAGCAACCATGAATAACTACGAAGAAAATCGTCAAAAGATAGCCCATTCGAGCGCTAGTCGATCCACATATTGTGTTACGACTCCAGAAGCGAATTTATCCAGGTGTGGAGATGGATTTAGTGAAAGAGTCGCATCATAGTCGATCATTCAACTGGCCCTCAGGGTCTCGAAGATTAGGATCTTCGGTGACAACTGATGGCCGCTGAAGAGACTACGCCCAGTGGTGCAATTAAGACGCAGATATTACGAGTATCAGCGATCAGCGATATAAAGGGATTTCGTATTAAAAAAATGGTCGAGACAGAGACGAAGATCGAGCCAGGAGTTGTGTTGGCAAGGTCATGCCTGCATTATTGTATGATGCAGAAACGTGTCCAGTGTTCCGCAATCTGCTAATTGGTTTGGCGCAAAGCAGGTACCGCCATGTAAGCAGATCAATTAGTTGTGTAGGAAACCCATAATTGAAAAGTTTAACGACATTTTATCAAGGACATGGCGTATCAATAGGTATACAATAATACCACGCAAGAAAGAGATCGGATTGGACTCCACTGGAGTACCTGTATCGGCTGAACGTGGCGTTACCTGATCGAAGAAGTCGATCTAAGATGGAACGCCGGCCATGGGACGCGAACACGTGAATCATTTTATCAAAATGCTGGAATATCGCGATCTGTCCAGGCAGTTGAATTTTTTACGACTTATGGATGCTGACGTTATGAAAGAATCGTCGCACGTCTGCCATCAATGCGCCTGTCGTTAGACGCACCGTCATCCTTGTTGGAGTGATCTCTTCTATACGCAGTTAAAACCACCAACCTCTAGTGACTGGCGACGAACAAAGTTGTTCGACGCTATAAGTCAACTAGGGCGCGAGGTGACGAGTCTTTTGTCACTTCCAACAGCAAAAGGATGAGACGTACCTCGTCACCAGATGTAGAGACACAATGATTTTTGTATCTGGACTGATTTTCTTCATGAGATAAGCGAATTCTCTCGATGTTGCTGTATCAGTAGGTCGCCCGCCCCTACTGACCCCGACAACTTTTATGATCCGCCTCGCTGTTTAGGCTTCGCAACAGCGTCGGACCCTCGTCTTTCAGTTTTTTGGCCAGTGGATTATTACTACGCTTAGTACCGCGAGTTTCTGAGCGGGGGACACTGCATTTATACGCAAAGTGTCCCAGCTTGTGACAGCGATGGTATCTCAGCAATCGTTTGTCGTTCGCAGGACGAGTTTTCTAAAGCCCGGGACGACAGAGGTCCATTGGCTCTGTGCCTTTGACCACTGGTCTTCTCTGTGAACGATGAGGGGTCAGCGTAGTGTGAGCTTGTCTCGAACTAATTTCTTCCTGCTCCGCAGCGTAAATTGCTTCGGAGAGCGTCTTTAGCTCCCCGCGAAACAGGTGGTCCCTGAAGGGACCATCTGCAAGACCTTGAATGAATATTGTGATCAGCACAAATTCACTCTCAGGGTTCACTACCATGCAACTTGCAAGGTAACGTACATGTTAAGCGTAAGCGTGAACCTTACGCTTACCCTGTTTGATCTCAAGGAGTTTAGAGAAAGTCCTGGACTCTACCCTGGGAGGCTCAAACGTCTTGTTAAACAGGGTCTTGAAGACGTCTAACGACTCGAACACGTTCGGGTCGTGTAACGTGAGAGTCAGGGCCCAATTCCTGGCGTCCTCTGTCAATTACGACTGAGTAAATGCGACTTGCATTCGCTCGTTGTCGATGCGACGACCTTTGATGGCATCGTCTATCCCGCGAAGCATCTTAACAGGGAGTATTTCTCGACCCACCGGTACTTAGAGATCTTTAGCTTTAGAGTTCCTCGTCGACGCTCACGCGTTGGCTCTGCAGACTGAGATTGTTGTTGTCTCAAAAATTTAGTCCGCTGGTGACCTTGCTGATGCTACAAGGTCACCTGCGCTGGCGACTCGTCAAGTTCTCGTTGCAAGAGCTTGCTTATTACGGAATGCTGCTGGTCCCGATCCCTTGTGGATAGCATGGCCAAGATCCTTCTTTTCCAACGGTCAAACACATGCGTTCGATCACACTTCATTCTACATCGCTCAAATACGGGTATCTATCACGGGTATCGTGAAATCTGTCGCCTTCTTCATCGTCCAAGATATTCATGTTCGGCGATGCAACTGTGGTTTTTTGGACAGACTACAAAGTGCTACCAGGTGTAACTTGGCACCGACGACTACGTACTGGTCTACCAGCACGAAGTTTAATTTTCACTGACAACAGTGAAGGTAAGTGCCCTGCTACGTATAACACTATACAGAGGAAGGTGGATGACTAAGGTGACGACTCCAGTCACTGGCAAACGTAAAACTGTTATTTAATAAAATTAAGTCCTAAAACTTCTTGTTTTCGGTTTGTCCTGACTTAATTACATTAATCGAACTAAACGTATGATGACGTCTACTCACTACCCATTGCGCGCGTCTAGAAGCGATTGGTGGGTTGATAAAGTCACAATATTAACCAATTAGTAGACCCTTCGGTTATCCCAACAATATCATTTCATGTATCGGGGTAGCCTGTTACATAGGTACCTACCTTCCTCTCTATAACGTTATAGATAGCAGGGCACTGACCTTCACTGTTGTCAGTGAAAGTAAACTCAAACTGGTAGACCAGTGCGTAGTCGTCGGTGCCCCGTTACACTCAAGAGGAAGTCTTGGTGCTTAACGACTGGGCTTAGCAAAAGAAAATGAACACGGTATCAACATATTAAGTCCTAAAATGTGTCGTGTCTTGTAGGCCCTGTCTTAACCAAATTAGTGCCAAAGCATGTATGGTGACGTGTACTCACCACTCATGGCGCGCGTCTTGCAGCGTTTGGTGGGTTGATGTGATGCTATGCCAAACAATGCGTAGACCGTTGAGTCACTGCATCCATATCACTGAACTTAGTGGTAATGTAGTGAGAATATGAGACGTACTATTTCCAATTACCACTATTGTCATACACGATACTATTACGTTACAGGTTTAGTCCATTACGCCTACTACATGCTACGTGGTAAAACATCGTCGATTCGATCGATGAGGGCTGGCAGGAATCAAAGCCAGCTGACCGCAACCAGCTTCGTTCTTCCATGTTTGACACAATGCACATGATACACACGTGGCATACTGCATTAATCCTCATCTATGATCGTCGGATGGATAATAAAGATGTCTTATCCTGTCGATCGATCTAAACAACGGTCGTGGCGCTCTTGCTTTTACCGCTGATGTGATGGAACATAAGGTGTAGCCGTAGATGGGAGGGGATCCGGCTGGAAAGTAATCGCTTGTAAGTCAGTCGATCACGATCGCCTGAACCCTGTTGGTCAGCGCAATGCTGACGTGGCGCTTCTGCAAGTGCCCCTCTTCCCCAATGTAAAACTTGTACAAAGTCCCCCAACCGCCTGTTTGTAAATGTTGCATGCACATGCAGCAGCACATCCTATTCGAAACGCATTGGTGTTTCTGTTGTCCCTCATTCCTCGTTCTGCCACACGAACACAGCACCCTGCCCGCCCCATGACTTGACTCGAGCAAAGATGCGCGTCACAGATGCCCTCATCATTTGCATGGCTGCTACCGCGTCCAGGACTGCCATGGGTTCGCCCGACACGGCGACCAGCGTTTCTGCTGGTATGTTTCACATGCTCTGTTCTCATGTCGACATTCAATGTGCGTACTACAATGACTTGGTGTCTCCGGGCTGCGCCTACGATACAAAAACCCGCAGCGAGTTCAAGGATAGTTGTTATCGGCGGTGCCCGAGTGAATACAACAGCTGCTCTGCCACGGCCTACGTCAGAGATCGTGTTTCGGGAGACGGTTCAGCATCCGACCAGTGCAGACACCACCCAGACTATTACTCGTACAAAGATTGCTGCGTGGCGAGGGTGGGCCTTCCTTGGAAGTAACCTAACGGTATCTAGAAACCGTCTGACCAACCGGTCAATGCGCCTGCGAGCATCTCAGTAGGCTTTTGACGCCGATTGAGTCGACTCGCAAACATGGGGGTAGTAGCAATTGACGATGGCCGAGCACAAATACGTTGAGGATGACGTTACATGCTAGACTGATTGTGTTCCATTGCGTTCCTCTGTTTTCTTGTGCATTGTTCCTCTGTTTTCTTGTGCATTGTTCCTCTGTTTTCTTGTGCATTGTTCCTATGTGGTTGAGGTCCGTATACCAGAGCTTACCGCCATCAAGCACAACGCAGTACAAGGAAGGTACATAACCTGCGTGGCACGTATGTTTGATGACGTGTAGACCCCACAGCTACACGCGCTTCAGTCTCTCACAATGTGAGCGCCATGCTAGTTCGTGAAATGATGAAGCGCTATGCTGTCATTGGCACTCGACGTCTGCGACAACTCAATGCGCGTTAGTCGTTCGATGCCACCTATGTCCAGCTGATCGATCCTTAGACATTGTAGTTCACAAATCCACAACTATCGATCAGTACTGGTCGTTGTTTCGAAGCTGTCGAAGGATCAAGTCGTGTCATTGCGTTTCATCGATATCGTATCCTCTGTCGGCGTGCTGACGTCTGTCGAAACAAGACAGACAGACGCTGCCTATGCATGTGCTGCCCCCATCGTACGCTTATATCTTTGCCAAGCAGAGAGACACACCTCCACACACCTCTGCCACCTTACCACTGTATCGCATTGTAAATGTTTTATTCTTCTTCTTCCTCATTTCTGCCACTAGATTGTTTAAAACATATTAAACCCTGCACAGTCGTTCTTCCCGCGCGGCAGCTCAATCTTCTCCTTATTCTTCGCAATGACGTCGGCCGTCACGGCATATTGGTCCCGCACGCCCTCGAGCGCGCGCACCAAGTTCACGTACCACTTGACGTCGAGCTCGACCACCGCAGCCAGTGCGTCCGCTGCCACTTGGCTCCCCGTGTGACTCTGCTTCTCCACTTTGGCCGTCACGCTCTTCTCCTCGTCGCCGTCTTTGCCGCCCTTGGACGACGTGACAGTCGTCGTCGTGCTCGACTCAGAGGTCGCTTTCATGTTGAGCTTCTCCACAGCAGTCGCCCGCGCGGAGCAGTAGTCCGCGAGCGCGTCCCACGTCTTTTGCCACTTTTCGTGCGACTCTTTTAGGTGCATATAGGCGTATTTCTGCACCTCCACGCCAAAGTTGTTGCCGTCTTCGACCTTGGGCACCTGCAGCTGGATCCAGAGCTGCAGCTGCTGAAGCGCACTCAAGAGCTGCGCGATCTCGTCGCCCACGACGCTCACAAGCGCCTGCACATCGCTGTTCGAGCCCACGGCCGAAGGGGCGGCGAGCACGGCCTGAGCAAACTGCACGCGCAGCTTCGAGGGCACGCGCTCGCTTACGTGCTGCTGCAAGAGCATCTGAATGTGCAGTGCACGCTGTGGTAGCGTCGAGAGGAGCGCAGTGCCCGAGGCCATGACCGTTGTCGAGTAAGAAGCGCTCATTGTCACTAGAACAGATGTGGGCGACTCGATGTCGTGTGGGGTCTCGAGATCTTTTTCACGAGTGAGCGACGACGAGGTGGACGGAGAGCTCTGCGCTGCTCCGATTGGCTGAAAAGAAAACGCGCACATTGCACAGTTGATTGGCGGAAAAGAACACAACGAAAGAAGGCGCTGAGCCGTTTACGTGCGATCGTCCAGCGACATGTCACGCCAATCCATTGTTGCGTAATCAGACGTGTTCCTCGTCACGTCAAAGCTGCTACGTCGAGTCGGTCGTTGGCACCACGAGTTGCAAACGCCACTTGGCTCGAGTCGGCTACTGCGATTAGCGATGCACTGTCGAGTGGCTCCTTGAGTCCAAGTGCCCGACGTGCTTCTGCCATGATAAACACGCTGCCGCACACTACGAGCACCTCGTCATCTGGAGACGCACGCGAGGCGGCCATAGCAGCGTCTACACCGTCCGTGATACTTGAGATCGCATTGTACTTGTGCGTCCCCTTGCTTGCAATGCTTGTGTTCATCAGTGCCTCGTTGATATCGTCCAGTGACGCGCCACGGGAGTGGTTTGCTTTCACAAGGTGAATGTGCTGCTGAAGCTGCTCGTCGCTCTCGTGTGGGTAACGACCGCGGACAACAGACGTGAGTCGTGCCAGCATCTTGGCAATATCCTTGTCAGCTGAAAAGCCGCACACGAACCGAAACGTTTTGTCGGCAAACTGCTTGCGGAGCAAACAAGCCAACCTGTCGATCGCGTGCGGGTTGTGTGCCACGTCGAGCACTACTGTGACCTTGCGTTCCTTTGAGTTCGGACGCATGACATGCAGCACTTGGAAGCGGCACGGAGGTCGAGACGCGAGCGCCGCGTGTATGCGCTTGTCACCCAGGTCAATGCACATCTTCGAGCGAGCACTGCCTGGCTGTAGACCACGCTGAGCATTGAACTGTGCACAGGCTTCGCGGGCAATGGCTGTGTTCTCAGCATTGTAATCTTCTCCCAAATCTGCCACGAGCGGCACTCGCACCAACGGAGCATTATTCTGCGTCGCGTACTCCATCATCACATTCACGGGCACGTTGGGACCTACGACAACCGGCACGTTTGGCTTGATGATACCAGCCTTCTCACGTGCGATGGCCTCGAGATCATTGCCCAGGATGCGGACGTGGTCCAGACCGATCGACGTGATCACTGAAAGTACTGGGCTGACGATATTTGTCGAGTCCAGTCGACCCCCGAGGCCCGTCTCCAGCACCACATAGTCCACACCATGTCGAGCGAAATACCGGAGCGCCAACATCGTCGTGATCTCAAAGAACGTAGCTGGGATCCTCAGTTGCGCGCTCACGTTGAAGATCTCGGACAACAGCTCGCATACTTCGCTCTCGGCAATGAGCGACCCATTGATCTGCGCGCGCTCGCGGAAGCACGCAATGTGCGGGGACACAAACAGTCCCGTCTTATAGCCCGAGCGCTCAAGCGCTTTCGCCACTTTGAACGCCACCGATCCTTTGCCATTGGTCCCTGCAACGTGGACCACCTCGAGCTGCGACGCCGGGTCCCCAAAGGCTGCATTCAGCTGCTGCATGTTTTCCAGTCCGAGCTTCACAGCCGTAAAACGGTTCACTTGGTACAGCCGCTGCATCAGCACCTCGTACGTCACCGACGTCGCCACTGCGGTCCTCTCCACGTCCTCGTCACTGCGCCAGTCGTCTCGGCGACTCTTCCGTCGCACTGGATGCTGTGACATACACCGCGCAGTGTCCGCCAGCAGGGAGTTCTTCGCGGCGCAAGTCGTGAGGACATTGAACGAGCTCCAACGCGGCGGCTCGGCGCGAGCAAACGCTGCGGGTTGCGGCGACTGTCGGAACTGTGCGCGACTAAGTCGTGTGTGGGAGCGTAAGTAGAGCTGCCAGCGTCGGAGTGGCGTCAACCCATGTGTGGATGTCCGGCGTACGGCCATGATGACCTGATTCAAAGTGGGCGGAGCTCCTGGTGACAGGCGTTGTACTGATTTGGTGGTACAATAAGGACGAGGCCCCAAAGACTAGTCGAAGGAGCACTTGAAGTACGGCAGGTGGGCACGTCGAGTCTAACGTGAAACAACATGTAATTGCGCTGTAAGGGGTTTGCAACGTGTACAGAAACGAGACGCGGTCAACTGAAACGTGGGAAGTGGTAAACGGTCCGATTGGATGCTGACGAGCGTCACTATTGGCTTTCACAAGAGTGACGTTGCCGTTACTTCAGACAGACGCACATGGAGATGACCCAAGTCGAGGCGTTACAGCTGATCGTCCTGCCGCCGCGTTTCCTGCAACGTACGTGCCGACGTAACACACGCTCACTAATATGCAGCGTACTGACCATCGACCTGTTTATTTCGTTGTAGATCTGCGCGATGCTGGCGGTGCAGCGATCGCAGATCTTTTGCAACGAGCAATTGCTGTCGAAGAGGAGGCAGAGCCGCTTGCAGCTATCACTACTTCAGAAAAACATGCAGCGCTAGAGATGTTGGCAAGCGCTGCTTACGAGCGCACGTGGGAGAAACTGCACTGTGGCAGCTGGAACGACGTGCTGCCTGTATGGCGTCAAGCGTTTGGGCTCGCGAGTGTGCTACAGGCGGTCTGTCTGCTTCGACGGCAGCGATTGTCAGACTGTCTCAAGACGCTCGATATGGTCTGATCTTTATGACAGTCGTCGACTTGTTTTCCGTATGACTGACGGCTGTTTTGCAACAATTGTGTGCCACCGCAATGGTCCTATGCTTGCAGTGTCTCATGATGGCTGGACCGTTTGCTCCATCTGAGACACACCAGTTTCTTGCTGGAGTCGAGCAGCAGCTCGAGGAGCAGCGTCTGGTATGTGCTGTGTTGCTATGGTCATTGACCAGAATGCGCTCTGGTCGAAGATGCCAATCTTGAGACGATGCATCGGGTGTCATTGTTTTGGGTCTATTTGCTGATTGGTTTTGCCGATTGGATGATGTAGAGCAAGAAGGAGAAGGTGCGGTGCGTCAAGGTGGGCGATTGAAATGTGCTACTAGTACTTTGGGCACGAGGCGATAACAGATAGCAACTCGCTCGTGCTGGCGTTTGAGCAAGTAGAAACTGCGGCTAGAAAAGCGTATGTTGTTTGCTGCAGGCGATGCAAAGGAGCAAGAACAAAAGTTGGCGTTTCCTCTTCGGAAAATGAAGACGCCAACGCTTGAGGAATTCCGCAATCACATAATGATGCAAAAGTGCGTTGTACTTAGTGACATGCTTAATTTCGGCTGCTTGCTGCTGACAGAAGGCATGCTGTGCTTGCAGCAAACCAGTTGTTATCACGGGAGCGATGGAGTTCTGGCCGGCACTAGGACGAGCTGCTGGACCCGATCGAGCATGGAACAGCGAGAAGTATATACGCTGCGTCGCAGGTTTGCGAACAGTGCCCATTGAGGTGCAGCCGAGTGCAGTTGTCTTGTATCATGTGCATGTTGGGTAACAGTTGCTGTTTTGTTTGACTTGAATGCGACACGGAGTAGGTAGGGTCGAGCTACACTGGAGACGATTGGGGGCAAGAGCTAATGACCATAAGCGACTTTCTGGATCGGCATATTCTTCCACAGCTTGAAGATGCTACGAATGCTACCGACAGTGACACGTCTGAAAGTCACGCCCCTTCATCATCTGAGAAGCTGGGGTATCTGGCTCAACACCGCCTTTTTGACCAGGTGCGCACTCAGCTTGTGAAAAAAGACGAAGCGGATATTCGCTGATGCGCAGTTGCCTTTGTAACAGATTCCAGCGCTGGGACGAGACATTGTCATCCCGGACTACTGCACTATACAACGTGCTGACGATCATACGAGCAATGACGAAGACGAAGACATCACGATCAACTGCTGGTTTGGGCCTGGAGAAACCGTTTCGCCTCTGCATTTCGACCGCAAAGATAACCTACTTTGCCAAGTCGTTGGTATCAAGTACGTGCGACTCTTTGCACCACAGGAGAGCGAGAAACTGTACGCAATGGAAGGTTTGCTGTCGAACACAAGTCAAGTGCAAGTGGAAAATCCAGACATCGAGAAGTTTCCTGACTTTTGTCACGCAAAGTACGTCGAGTGCATTCTAGGCGAGGGCGAGATGCTGTACATTCCTCCCAAATACTGGCACTATGTGAAGTCTCTCTCGACCAGCTTTTCCGTAAGCTTCTGGTGGTCATAGCACAAACTGAATGTGAAAGAGGTCATCGCAATTGAACCAATGGAGCATGCTCGAGGTGACGCGTCTTTATACCGATCGTATGTGGATTTGGCTGCCGCTTCAACGCTGAACATGGAACTAAAACTATGGTGCTGTCGTCATCGCACGCCAAGCTGCTGACGCGGGTCACGGGTAGTATGTGTTGTCTGAACTAGGCATGTTGTTGGACTCATCGATGTGTTGCCCACCGAGCTTCAAATCGTCAAGTCGCGCAAGAAGCTCGCCAGCCTAGAGAACAAAGTTTGCGCGCTTGACTTGGCTGGAGACTGTCGAAACTGGAATGTCTTGTACTAAAATGATTCCGGTGACAGACAGCAAATACCAACTATATGCAGCATGCATGATCTGACGACACGTCGCCTGTAGGTCTCGCAACATCTTAGATAGTTGTGTGGGGCTGCGCACTCAGGTACCATCGAAGCTTCTCGAGAGCAAAAGACATCAGCCATTTTTGAGCCGACCTCCATGCAAGTGTACAAATGCAACTCACGTCTGGATGTGTCTCCATCGGTTTCACCTTCATGTCTGAACCCTCGCAAGCCAACCCGCATGCGGCAAAATCGAATTGTGGTCAGCGAAGCATAATGACATATGAACGAAGTTGCTGTCGATACGCAACCGAATTTGCCACGTTCACCGATGCCGATGAAGCTGGGCTACCAAAGTCAGCCAAACGCTGCGGCTCAGTGCACTTTCTCCTCTTGCTCAGATGTTGACTGTTCGTTGATGTATCTGGTAGAGGTCGAAGGTTCGACCCTATTCTATGAGTGTGACGCTGAATTGCCAAAGCCAGCGTATCGCTTTGGCAACCGATTGTCCTCATGCTAGTAAGCCGCTCGCTGTTGCAGCTACGGCAAAGACCGCCTCTCATCCAGTGATCGTCATTGCAGCTAAAATTGTGACGAGCAGTCGTGACTGGCATGCCGCAGCTCATATGTTGCGCAGCGTGAGACATGATATCAAAGGTGGGTTCTTGCGCCGTCCCCTGGATGCCAGGCACTTATGATGCTTTCCGAGACAAGCTGAATGATGGTCGTAATGGTCCCAGCTTCACTACGCTATAAAGGATCGTGGATGACAGAAGATAAGCAAGGCCCTTTCTTGCGACGCATGAGTAAGTCTTGGACTACTACAATTTAGTCGCGAGACATCATCCATTGTTTGACCGATCTTGATCAGGCATAAGTGCTAGCGAGAGCCATAAGTAATCTCGCGTCAATCAATGTACCAGTATGTATGAATGATACTCAAGCGCGGTCAGAAACCTGCATCAATTACCGGTTGGCGTGGAGTACAGTCTAGTCATAGACATTCTTCGAATGGTTGAGCCATTCATGACAATTGGTTCCGGCTCTGTTTGCGTGAAGACTCTCGTGCCTCTCGAGTGTCTGACAGCCATGACGTGGCAGTTGTAAACAGTGAAGCTTCTTTTCTTGCGAATGGATTGTATGTAGCACGACAAGTCGCCGAACTGGTGGTGATTCGACTGTACATGTATAGATGCAATCAAGCCAAGCACGTGAGTCAACCAGTTGTAAGTGATCGATATCATACAGGCGGGGCCATACCTATCGAAACACTGGCACACGACGAAAAGAAGATTCGCCCCCGCCATTCACTCTCAGCATTCCTGTCTGTGTGTTTATGCTCGCCACTCCAAGTGATGTGACTTCTCGCTTGCCTATTTGCTTCCTCAGATCCACACCCACAAGTCCTCCGACCAGCCAGCGATATGTGGTATCAATATACGGTCTGTTCGTTGTATTGCATTACCACGTCAGATTCCGAGCTGGTAACGAATTCAAAACACTTGCTAAATCGACTCTTGCTCTTCCACTTGCACAAGGACAATTATTCATACGAATAGGTTCACTTCTTCGGATCACTTGCACCCAAAGTAAGCACATGCTTCATTTGACACTGCTGGGTCTGTTTTACAACACGTAATACCTTCAAACACGCACTTCTATTCTCTTGTGTGTGCTTGTATTTAATTATTTGAGCCGCCATTGGCGGCAAATGGTGGAATACGAAGTGCCACTGCGCGCGCCGTGGCCCCTTTTAGCATGGCTGCTGACAAAGTATAGCTGTGTTTCCTGTCGACGGTGTAAATGTCAAATACTGTTGAATGTAAGTATTTTGACATCCTATCGAAAAGTCTGTGCGATGTTGTACAGTCTAATGGCCATATCAAATGCACTTCAACATGAGAGCAAAAACGGCAGTGAAAAACAAACGACGTCGTCATGCGATACCAATAATGAAACACTTCCTCCTACTCCAAGCAAACGACGCGTGAATGCTTTTCCCGTTATCCGACCTCACGATCCTACGTCGATATGATGTGTGGAAACTACTAGTACAAGAAACTCCGTTCAGAGCGACGACTGCAGCAGGCCTGACATATTACTCAGCAGTGATGTCGACACAGCAGCCGATTAAAACCCAAATGCACTCGCATCTTGCTTGCCCTTGACAACGTCGTCAAAGAAGCACAAAATGACCGGCAACAGGCCGCTACGGTCGACAGTTGGCCGGTTCTTGGGACCCTTAATGTACTGGATATAGTGGCCCATACTGTGCTTGGCGTATTCCAGGTCATTTTTCCGGATTTGATCAAAAGTGTCCGAGAACGACGGAAACACGCTCATGATTAGCTGCATCTCGCCCTCCTCGGGGTCATCGCTTTCGACAATTTCCAGCATCTTGTTCACGTACTCGGACGCACACCGCTCGAGCCCTGCAGCATATAGACCGTAAGCCACGTGACGCTACTACCGTGCAGCAAAACAATATGCATCCCCTCTCTCATTCTACATAGCGCACAACGTGAATCACTCACCCAGGACACCATCCCGCTTGACTTTTTGTGCGTCAAACGTGTGTCGGTGTTTCTTGGCGTCCACGACACTCTTCTCCTCAACGTTTGCCTTGCTCGCCTGGCAAGAGATCAAGACGGTTGTGGTTAACAAAAAGTCCACCCTCATCAGGTCACCAGAGGAGCAAAAAGGGGCGCACACAGAGGAGAGAGATCTACCTCAACATCAATGCGACGCAAGTCCTCATCGGAAAACGGAATTCGCGTCTCCGGCTCGGAAAAGTCCCCCGTGGCTAAAATGTACTGCACCAGGGACTCGACATTGTAGACAACGACCGACCCATTCGTCCGCGTGATTGCCACCTGCACGAAAAACAGAGCAAAGAGAAAAAGAAGACGAAAAATCATCATAGTCGTAGCCATAGTAGCCCAGAAAGTACCCACAAAAGACAAACACCGTGTAAGTCAGTACATTGCAACCACACCCCTTCACCACATGTCGTCATATCGTTTTCACTGAAAACCGCCCAGTCGTACCGTGTGCGGACCCAGTTCCGTGAGCATAATGGGGTCCAGTGTATTGGTCACAATAGCCGCTATCTTGGCCTTCTTCTGCTGCACAGCTCCGCCTTCAGCTTCAACGGATGTCGCGCGCTTCTTCTGGAGCGACGACAGCCGTTCACTGCACCGCACTGTTGCAGTCGGTGCCAAAGCACTCGCTACAATCGGAGCGACGTTCACTTTATCGTCTTGGACTGCCTCTCTGGATACGCAATGGCTACCGCCACCTTCTTTGCGCTGCAAGAGCGAAAAGAGCTCGGGCTTGGACAGGTGCAGGTAGTACTTGAGGCCGCGCGTGTGGGCAAGCGCACGGAGCTCTGTCATGGATGGAGACGACCGGGTCTCCATTGATCGGAATAGTCAAATGGTAACAAGTGGAACGTTTATATGATTTTTGTGACGGAACGACACTCGAGACGTTTGTGCGTGTTGGCTCGAAAGTTGAGGAATGACCGGATGCAGTGGGGGCTTTGACCTGATAAAGCCCGTGGAAACCGTGAGTGACCGACCGACTGACTGCCTGACTGCGGATTAGGAGTGATCCATATACCGGTATCTCGAGTCAAGTGTCCCTTGACAGTGCAGCGCGTGGTCGAGCGTCAGAAATGGCGCCTAGAATAGGGACTCGGTAACACCCAAACTACGGCGCCGTCGGCGAATCGTCTGGACGTCATGACGGAATGCAGTAGGGCGTGAAGTAAATACAACAAGACGCTGTTTTGCTCAGGTGGGGTTTGATAAACACTTTCGCATGCACGACCACACAATCGTGTGTAGATGGTAAGAGTCGATCAACTTTTGTAGTCCAATGTCACGTTCACCTTCAGCCGCATCGTTTCGGACTTTTCGCTCAGTCTTCACACGTCGCTTGGCAGGAAGGATTGGCAGCTTGCACTTCCGTGATGTCGTTATTGTGAAGAATGTCACTACAGTGTCTGCAAGCGAGAGCAACTGCAACAGTGATACGAGCTCTCGTGTTTGGAGAAGAGGGTCATCACAGTCACTAGGTCTGATGGCACTCGTCTCTTCGGTACACCACTATGGGCTATTTTGCCTTGCTTCATCTTCGTGTTCTCGGATTACAATCCGCGCATCGAGTCAATCGGGATAGCACCTTTCTGCGAAAGTCCTCTTGCACACGCTTAACTGGCTGCAACGTGACTTCGCAAGCTGATGGTCTAGACAAGAATACAACCAGAGCCATCGAGATGATGAGTCGTGGAAGCATGACACATTGAGTCATTTCCAGACGTGATGATCAAGTTCAGCCAGCTAGTAAGAATGTCGCCATGGCAAAAGCGTGGTCTGTCACCCGATCGATGAGCTTTGCTGTACTTAAACAGCTTGTAGCGGAGCTAACCAGCTTTTTAAGTCAGAGGAAGACCTAACGCTCAATGAGAACTTTGGTTCTACGATCCCGAATCTAAAAGTCAACAGCTCCGAGAGCTAAGGTTTAGTTCAAAGAACCCGACTCAAAGAGTCAACAAGATCAGAGAGCTTACGGTCCCTGTTCCAGGGGGACCAAACGATTCAAAGAATCAAACGCACAGAGTGCACAAGAAGTAGCTCCCTAAACAAGGCCTTGCTACCTCCTTACGATCGCAAGACGCCTCGTAAGGCACGTGTCTTTTGTTGATCAGAATGGGAACTGAATTTTATTTCTTCTTTTAACCTAAAAGAACACCTTATAACAAAGTGATTAACCTACTCTCTAATGTCCTAAATAAACCTATTGAAAGATCGCGTAATCAATGGTTGACAGACATCAGTCTTCAACAATTGATACTTGTATTCTAATATCACTTAAAAGGGGACCCCATCACTTGTGTGTACCACACCGATTGTCGACTACCAGTCGACGTGTAACCCCGTTACACCCCCCCACCAGACTGACGTTTCCACAAAACGTCAATCGAATTCTTTCCTCGAAGAGGACGGTGTGTGTGCGCTTCAACCTTCACGGTTGGAACACAACAAAACACCATGGCATCGCCACCCCATGAGTTCTCGACTCTCTCATCTTACCTCGGCATTGATGTGGAGGTGGATAATGATAGCGATACCGATATCCATGGTGAAGAGAGGACAATGTACGACTCACCAGTGCAAGAGCCAGCGCCTCATATTGCACCAAACTCTTTTGCCGAGCGTGGCGAAGCCAACGCGCCATCGGCGCCGCATCAAACACTTATCGTGGGCGATGCCATCATCGCCCATCCGCTCGATGAGCAACAAAAATGGCTATCCAACGAGAGGAGAGCGCTTAGCGCCGTATGCAGCTTGCTGCAACTCTTGAGGGTCGTCGTGGCTATCTGTTCACACCACTCAGTGTGGAAGAGCGTATACGCCAAACGACAGGTCGTTCTCTGGCAACGTGGTCCATTGGCGCTGAGCCAACATCTTCTGATGAGGTGGCGAGTCGACAGGCACTTCGTGAGAGGTACCTGCAACCTCACTTGACGACTCAAAGTCAATATAAGACGCGACTTGACACGCAAGCACGGGGTGTACCGGTTCCACCGATGAAGGGTATACCCATCCTCTTATCCGCAGGCGAATCTCAGGAGGAAGAAGACAAAGATTTTGTTCGCTGGGTGCATCGGAAACGACACCTCAGCAGCGTGTTAGCTCTCAGAGCAAGTGCCGATGTGGCAGATGTTCGGTTGGTACGAAAGCTTCGGTATGATTACGCCAAGCTTAAGGCCAGAGGCCAGTTGCGAACTCGCACACGCTATGCTCCGGCTGTGCCGATTGATGTGGGTGTTGGTCAAGTGGTACCTAACTACCCACCTGCCTCCACCACTATTGGTGAGAAGCGCTCTCGGTCGAGGGATGACCTCGCCACGATGTTCAAAAACACCCACGGCCTATGGGCAATCCTGCCGAAGGGGTATCTCATACTCCCACGAGTTCTCCGACTCCGGGTACCCTCACCACTTCACCACATACTGGTATTGACCCTGACGACGACGTCGTTTTAGGAGTCGCTCCACATGGAAATGGCGGTTCCCTTGCTCATCGGGCAGCGTCGGAGGTGGTCGGTGTACTAAGGGAGGAGCATGAGAAGGTGCTTCTCGATCTGAGTGGTCTCCGTGGGACATTGCGTAAGACCCAGAGTGCGTTCGACGCGATTCGAGCCCGTGTCCAGGCGTTGTAGTTGGGCCAAGCCCGGATGGAGGTCCAGCTTGACCTCCTGATACGGTTTCAGAAACCGATGGCAAGGCCAACCTATGCGGAGCAAGTGCCTCCAAGTTCATGTGGGACGGATTCCGATGCGGCTTAATCAAGCCAACGTAGACCACGGGGTGTGTGCGCAGTTTTTGCGGAAGGTTGAGCGTATGCAAGTCCTTTTCGGCGACGACCGTGAATGGTCCAATGAAGCGCGGGCGCAACTTTGTCTTGAAGACGGCGGATCCTACGTTTATAGGCAAGTTTTCAGCGTTGAGTAGAACTTGGTATTCGATCTCATAACGTTCAACACAACCTCTGCATTTGGCATCAGCTTGTTCCTTCTGCTTGTCTTGGATATCAACCAGTGCGTCACTCAGATGTCGTAAGACATCTAGTCGCGTTGCGAGAAACTTGCTTACTTGTTTTTATACAGTAGCAGGGCTGATATCAGCAAGCCGATTGGCCATCTCTCCCCCACTAAGCCCTGAACCACGAAGTGGTAGCGTTAACGGAACGCGAGGGTGTGTGAGACCATTCACACAAAACGGTGTGTAGTCGGTGGAGGCATGCACGGCGTAATTCAACGCAAACTCAACGAAAGAGAGCATCTAAATCCATCGCTTTGGCGTTTCAGCGCAAACACTGCGCAAGATGTCACCGATGATGCGATTCATACGCTCGGTTCTACCATTAGTCTGCGGATGATCCGCTGTGGACATGTCCAAACGTGTGCCGAGCACCTTGAAGATGGACCTCCAAAACTTCCCAGTGAAGCGAGGATCTCTATCAGAGACAATTGCCAACGGAAAACCGTGTTGTCGAAACACGCGATCGATAAACAGCGTCGCTGTACCTTCACCATCAATGGTATCTGGCACCGCCGCTAAATGAGCCATCTTGCTCAAACGGTCAACAAAGACCACAATACCCGTATTGCCATACGAATCCTTAGGTAATACGAACAGACAGTTCATACTATTGAAATCCCAACAACCCTCGGGTATAGGCAAACTAGCCAGCGGCGCGGCCGCGTGAGGTGAGGGTTTCACCCGTTGACACGTCTCACACGTACGCACACATGTGCTCACCCATTTGTATAGTTTGGACCACCAATAGCATTGCCTAACTGAGCCGTAAGTCTTCTCACGACCTAGATGACCACTCAAGGCAGCATCATGTGCCTCATAGAGGATCCGATACTTCAACTTATCATCATGAGGGACAACGATGCGAGGGGTATCCTCCACATCCGTGCTATAGCACAACAGGCCTTGATCGATGGAATATCGATGTAACCTCGCACGTAATCGTGCCGACAATTTTAATTCTGAGTCCTTAAACTCCTCTCTTCCTAGAGCACGTAGAAGAGCTACACAATGTTCATCCTTAGCGTATGCCGTACGGATTAGGTCAGTGACCGACGACGACAGAGTCGCAACATGAGCAAGCTCATATATAGGCCTGCGTGACAACGCATCAGCCAAAGCATTCTGCTTGCCCGGCTTATACTTCATCTCGAAGTTGTACTCGGCAAAAGAGGAAAGCCAAAGAGCCATTCGCTGAGAGAGGCGAGGCGACTGGGTCGCAGTGCGTAGTGACGCATGGTCTGTATAGACCAAAAACGGCTTAGAGCCAAGAAGATGAACTCTGAATTTGACGAAATCATACTTCATTGCAAGTAGCTCTTTGTCATGAACAGGATAGTTCTTTTCTGCAGTCTTGAGCTGTCGGGACTCAAACGCAATGACGCGTTCCCGTCCATTATCATCTGTTTGTAACAGAGCACTGCCGATGGCAAAATCAGATGTGTCACAGACGACACTGAAAGGCCGATCAGGATCGGGCAAAGCCAAGATTGGCGCATGAAGAAGACTCTCCTTAACCGCCGTAAATGCTTCATGCTCGGTGTTAGTCCAACACCACTCCGTATCCTTTTTAAGGAGATTGGATAATGGCCGAGCCATGTCTGCATAGTTTGCACTATACTTGTGTAAGTAATTGGCGAGACCAAGCCACTTACGTAGGTCCTTTTGGTTCTTAGGAACCGGCCAATCGACTATGGCTTTTATCTTAGTAGGATCCGCTCTAAGACCACGCTTCCCAATGAAGCACCCTAAAAAGGGAATCTCTTGTGCACCAAAGATGCACTTAGAGGCGTTGGCATGCAACTTGTTCGT